GACACCGCGGGGCTGGGGGAAGCAGGCCGCGCCTTCGGCGTCGACGGCGAAGAAGGACGGTTCTTGGACGCTGGACTGCTGAAGAAGACAACGCCGCGGATTATTTTCCACAACTCCATAACGTCACGTGTAGAAGGAGACAGCCGAGACACGAAAAAACAACGACAGACTCCCGTTTCTGAAATCAACACCTCACTGAGCAAAAAATCGGCATTTCACAGCTTCCCCCAACACAAAAATGTGGCTGAAATCTGCACACCTGCAAACTCCACGAGGGCTGTAACAAAACATGGGGTCAGATTTGACAAAACGGCAGCTTTTACTGAGAGTTTTACCGAGAGCCCGAAGGAAATTAACACTCATTCACCTGGTTAATTTAAGCGGTATGTAATGGAAGCAAAGACCAGACAATGGGATCTAATGGAAAACAAAACTCCAGTCCAGTCAGTATTGCTTAAATAAAAATCCCTTTGATTGTGAGATTACAATGGACGCAAACGTCAATCAAGGGAAGAGATGCCTCATTAGGAATGAGTAACATTATTTTTTCCTGAAAATGTTCGTAAATCATATAATCAGAGGTAATAAAGACTTAACTATTTCTATGATACAATGGGAGATGCCTTCTGTACATAATTTTATTGCCTAAAACACAAAGAGATGTACAGTAGGAGTCTAGATGAATCTACTCAACCATTTTGTAGATACTTATCTAAATAAGCTCAAATAACTTAAAGAGAAGTAACCAAAATAATTAGCTGTTCTTGAATACTTCCTATTGTTTTAAAACTCTCTTATACTCAGCTTCCTATTAAAGCAACAGAGTCCGCAAGGAATACCTGTCTGACAACTCTCCAGGAGAGAAGCAACGTACCTGGTCTCTATTCTGTGTTTCATGCTTGGCAAAGACTGCCTCTTCTTCAGCACCTTTTCCTTTGCGAGGGCGTGCTTCTCTTTTTCATTTTCCCGTTCCTTGTCTTTCTTCTCTTTTTTCTTTTTCTCCATCTTTCGGAAACCGGAAACGAGAGCAATCCTTTTAGAACGGGTCCCTTAAGTAAGCAAGCGCCGGCATCACGCTGAAGTCTGCCAAGAGAATCCCAACCTTCCCAAGGGAAGACAAACCCTCTCATCCCCACTAATGTGACTGGGAACCTTGTCCGCACCCACAGGGATAATAAACCGGAATTCTCTAACAAGCCCTGGGGAATACATGGTCAGCAAACGAGGGTTTTCTCAAAGAATGAGCTATTTTTCAATCTGGTGCCAATACAGCTGTTGGCAGCGTACTCACGTCAACCTGACGTTCCTGACGTCCTGGGCAGTTACACTGGTAATGTGTCATTAAAAGGTCAAAAATGATTAAGCTACCGCTGCTGCTGATATTCGTTAAATGGCACGAATTGTCTCAGTTTGTATGGAAGCCCTTTTATAAATGTATGTGCTTAGCCAGTTTGGTTTTGAAACACCGAAGAGAGAAGAGCTGGGGCTGAACAGACTGTAGAGATGGTTAAAACAGATATAACCTTCTTTCCCAGAATAAGGCTCTTAGAGGTGAATTCTCTGTGGGAATCAGTGAACCTTACAGAACATCTGCGATGAAGAGAGCTATGCCTATTACAGCAGAAGAAATGGCCTTTTACAGTGGAAACACCTGTAAGAACCCCTGGCGCAGTCTTCAGAAGCGCCCTTGCTGTGCTTGGTGTTTTGTATACTACGTGTGTGTGTGGACATCCTGACTCCAGCCTGAGAGAGACTCCGAGGCGCGTACCGTCCATACCGCGGCTGCCGGGCTCTGGGAGAGACTGGGCTAGCAAGGCGCCCGGCGCCACTCACCGGTGTGGAGTCCCGCCTCCGGCGCTGGGTGATGTCAGGGGTGCTGGCCGACACCTTCCAGCGGTCGGAGCAGCGGTGATGGGCTCTGTGGTTATTGCAGGGGGCGAGAGGGCTGGCGGACGCCGACCGAGGACACAGGGGCGAGACTGTGGAGGAAACGGGGCGACCAGTTAAAATGGAGACCATCACCTATGGGGCCCCACATTCGTCCGCTTGGTCTTATCTCCACGGTAACTAGGGTTGTTACTATGAATATGATTTCATGCCCCCCCCCCCCCCTCCAAAAAAAAAAAACACTTTCTCATCGCAAAACTAAATAGTTGCCTTTAAAATTGTTCAAATAAAAGCTAATGAATAATAAGGGAAGGGATGCCTCATTAAGACAGATGAGTATTTTCTATAGTATCCCTGCTCCAGTAAATGATGAAGTTGATGAGACTGAACACCAGGCTCAGGCAGTGTGCGTGTCGGAGACGGACTCACGCGCGTCTTTCCCGCTGCCCAGCAGGGTGGCGGCGCTGCGGCTGCGGGCCAGGAAGGACAGGGTGGGCGTCATCAGCCGGTCCACAATGCTGCTCTCCCAGGGGCTGAGCTGTAGGCTGCGGGCTGAGACACGGCAGCACAATGAACATGGAGTGCAGGGCTTTCCAGTGTATCCACCCCTGAACCCTGAACCCCAGAGCCCAGAGCCCGAACCCTGAACCCCAAAGCCCAGAGCCCGAACCCTGAACCCTAGAGCTCAAACCTCAGAGCCTGAACACCAGTGCCCGAACCCCCGAGCCCGAACGCCAAACCCTGGAGCCCGTCACGAACGGAGGTGCAGACACTCAGGGATGGCTGTACACAGGAAATACCTCCCTTACAACGGAAATAAACCCCTCAGGTAAGAAAACCTGACAGAGTGTTCAAGCAGACATCAATAGTCTCTCACTACAAGTCCTACAGATACTCAGTGCTGTCAGGGGATGAGCGAAAAACACCGATTTCTACTTCATAACAAAGCAATTCCACCATTCTGGCAGTTCAGGGATGTGAAATCCCAGAGACTAATAACTACAGTTACATGAACTGAGTGTGCATCCTGTTCCTTTTATCTCCAATAAACAACGAAAGAAGATTATTTCACTGAGAGTAAGCTGGTCCACATGGATCTGTAGGAACAACAGACAAACAGCTTCGCAAAATGGTTATTCAATAAAAATGATTCTTAATATCGGTTTTCTGCCACATACTAAGATGTATATTCTGCTTTAAATAAATTGTCCTAATTAAACAAACTAAGGAGCAGGTTCCTTAATGAGGTTATAAAATATCTTCAGAAAAAAAAAACAAAAAAAAAAAACAGCTTGCTCAGTCCTCACAGATGGAGCACTTAAAAGAGCCCCACAGACTGGCAACATTAAAACGCCATTAACAAATAATCAAAACCTTACATCAATGCAAGGGAACAGTAGGGGAAAGACAGGCTGATCAATTGCCATTAAAACGTCAAGCTCATATTCAGCTTTTGAATTTTTGTCCGTCTCGTTCAAAAACCTGAAGTGAAAAAAGTCAATACCAGAGGCACTGTTTAATGAACGCTAATTGCCAAGTGAAGAAAAGCCTTACTGAACAGCAGCTCTGAAGTATTTTAGCAGAAGGGTCACCTTCGAGCTGTTCTTAATATACTCTGCCAGCAATCACATCCTGAAGTGCACTGCCTCTCACATACTATTTCTGCAGATGGTGCAGAAAGATTTCAGGCTGTATTTGACTCCAAAAAGAAAAATGAACTCAAGCAGTCTGGCCTAGTTAGCATTTTATTACAGGAACTATACAGCAGTAATGTTGCTTTACTGATGAACCCTGTTCTTAATTTACACAAGTATCCACTCTGGATGTTTTTTCTTTTACTGATGCAGCATCAGTATGATTCATGTACTTTTTTCCAAACCTTATTCTTTAAGGTTTTTATCAGGATGCTCCTTAATTTAAAATTCTTAGTCAACTTGTCTGTGTGCTCACTGCAATACGATCATTTCCTGAGGATTTCCTACTAAGGAACCCATAGCAGTTTGCAGTCAAAAACAGCCTTGAATTCAGGTGCTATCATACAGACCAACCTGAAAGCTACTTTACCCTGAGATTCATCATTTGGAACCAATACCTCTATGAGTAAACCAAAAAAGGGAAGGAAAAAATGAAGAGGACTGAAGTTTTCAAAACCGGCCAAATCTCCCTTTCAACTGTACCAACGATGCTCCAGCAGAAACGTCAAGGCTCAAGTGTTTCGAGACGGGGCCCGACAGAGTGTGCGTCTCGACCGCGTCTGAAACGAAGCTGTAGGGCAGCAAGAAATCGAGGGAGCGAACGGAACTGTCGGCGCTCCTCAGAAAGAAAGAGCATGTCTAGAAAGCCGAGATCGATAAGAGGTTACTCGGGCGATTCTCTGCAGGGGGAAGACTCTGTTTTTTTTTCTTCTTTTCTTAAAGAGTCCTCAGGCAGTGCAAAACATACATCACCCTGAAAAAAACGCCAGAGGTCAGCTAACGTTTCAGGTTGTTAAAGCAGATACCGATTCGAAAGACGCTGAAGGCAGACTGGATTAACTGAAGTGCCACCAAAAGGTGAAAAACACAGGCCTGGCCCACAAGAATTCCCCCAGGTAGTGCCACCTGCTTTGTTAAATCAGTTGGAAACCCCATCATCCATGCTCCTCGAACGAGCCAGAGCCCTGTGGAAAACTTTCCTGGCCAGCTCGTTCTATATTTTTAGACTGGAAATATTGTGATATGTTTCACTGGTTGCTGGGCAACATGGAGGAAAGCCACGAGTATAAAGATCTGGATGATAGTTGACTGTTCGTGACCCCTCTTAGTTCTCATGTCTCTTCTAATGATGCAGGCTTTCACCGCAACATGAAAAAAAGGCTAGTTGGTATGGCTACTGCTTTCTACGATGTGTTATTTTCACATCTAAAACTCAGACCTGGACAGCTGAGGTAACAATTCAGTCAGTTAAGATAATTAGCCTCAGTGAGATTAACCATGGGTTAAATATTACAATTGTATCCAATGAACCGTATTACAGGTCTGCTTCATCTACAATTTGAAATTTTCTAATGTCGTTTCCCATGGTGAACATGTTCACACACCACTCAGTCTGTAAACAAGTACCATTCTTTGTTTGCATACACCTTGAACACAGGAAATAAAATCTTCTTAGGCTTTTAGGTTTCACACTAGCTAAATGAAAGTCGGAAATGAGAGACTTGTTCGTTTCTCTTCCTTCGTTTTCCCAGGCTGTAACCTCTGAAGACGTGTTGGAGTAAATTGGTGCTGTTCGGCCCTTCCAAATCCACAGGTCATCCGCAGAGCGGTCAGCACTCACCTCCCACAGCACGGCATAGGCCCCTGTCAGCTCGGCCTGTGGCACATCTCATACTCCCATTGTGTAACGGGCTTTGTAGATGCATAACAGCTTACTGCTGTCCAGGTTAAATCCAATGATTAAATTCAGATTTACAAACCACCACCATCACCCACGAATATCATAAGACGAACACCAGCTCAACACATTCAAGGTGAAAAAAATGCAGGAGGAAACCAAAAATGTAAATAGGAAATGTGCAGTGAAAGGACTTAAAATATATCTGGAAAAAAACGGAAAGTGCGGGATTTTTTTTCTAAAAAAAAAACAATCACAATGCAGGTAAAATTTTGAAGACAGGGATGGGAATGGAAAAATAATCACCATCGAGCATTGGCAGGCGATTTAAAAAAATCATGGAGGTAGGAGGGATTTGGAAAGTCTGGTGAAGTTGACATTAGAGCAGGAAGGGGGGCCAAACAAGCTTTTCTTACTTCTGTTTGGCGAATTCCAGAGGGTGGCAGAGGACTTGGACAGCCTCTTGTTTATAACGGAATCCACATGTTTAGGGAGGTTCACCGCTGACATCGAACATCTGCCTGTACCTGAGGAAACGTATAAACAACACCGTTCACAACACTGGCCTCTGAGGGGAAAGGGGTGATCATGAGGGGGGTCCTCACGCTATGTAACCTGGTCTTCGTGGCATGAAAAGGAAGCTTTTCCCTCAGGAGTTTCAGAAGCCTTAAGGACAGTTACAAACAGGACGAGACAATTTGGCCCATCTGGTTGGTATTGAGCCGAGGAGCTCATCCAGCCATTGAGTGAAAGAAGCCAGGGTATCGGCTTCAACCCCATGGTTAGATTTGATCCAGATTCCCAGCACTTGTAGGATAAAGGTGTGCCACAGCCCCCTGCCCTATCCCAAGAGAAGAAAAACAAAAAGGATGTGGAAGAGAAGGAGCCTGCTGGAGAATCAGGGCAGCCTGGGATCGGCCTGCAAGCTATCAGTTAAAACTGGTTGCTGCAGAACCATCGCTGAGAAAGGACACGCAGAACGGGAGAGGAAACCAGCTGCCAAAAGTAGAAACGAAACCCTCCCAGTCACAGAAAGAAAGATTAGGCCTTTTACAGACTGCTTCAGAAACAAAGCACAGAGGAGAAACAAACCACCCAGAATTACCCATTTTAAAATGACTCACACCCCTGAATGCAAAAAGAAAAAAAGACTTGAAGTGCAAGCAACAGTCTTTAGCAGTACGACCAGTGACATTATTAAATCAGTTCTTGGTCAGCTTTGAAACATCTGTAAGAACTCCATGTAACTAAGACGGCTTTCGATACAGATTGGCAAGTAATATAACACCAATAAAGAGGAGTGACTTGTAACCTCATTAACACTGGACTGGAGATACACTGACATCCTGTGGTGTTCTGTAGCAATAGGCCAGACACAGTCCCCCATCCCAGTCCCACCCAACATGTGATCAATCGAAATATGTGCACAAGCAATAAGAGAAGGACCTTGGTCCAGGAATCATAAAATCTATAGCTGAAATCTGATCTCGGGGACTCCAACTTCACATTTTACTGCACCATATCAAGAAAGAGTCCAGATGTTAAAAAGGGTGTGACACGTTACATCTGAGTCACACCAAATTGTTTTCAGTGAAGAACTTTATACATAGCAAAGGCAGCCTTCCACTTGCATGTTTCTTTGATTTTCTCTTCTGAGAGGCCTGGGATATAATTTAAGGAGATTTCCCAGCATGCTCCATGGCTCCTTTCCCAATTCCAGCCCTGCTGTGTGGCCATTCAAGTCCGCATTCGGCACTCTTCAAAAACAGGAAGTCAAAGTGACATCACACAGGGAAAGCTCTTAATGCATGTTGTGCAGTTATATTAACTCTAAAAGAAGGAGAGAGTCTTCTCCCTATGTCAGAGAGAAAATAAGCAGGGGAGATTTAAACTCATCCAGTTTTTCCAATGCATAGACACCCAAGTACAACTGCCAAGTCATTTCGGTAACAGTGATGCAGGCTCAAGGTTTTGTCCTGTTTTGTTGTATTACAGCTCAGATCTCTTGTAGCCTTGGTTTTTACCTATCAGTTAAGCTAGATGTCCTTAGCTGATAGCCCAGGAGTCAGCAACGTTTTTGCCAAAAAAACCAAATGCAATGTTCAATATTGAGATATGGGCACAGTAAGATGCCAAGGCAGGGAGGAGATCTGGTAAGGTTAATGATCTGTGAAGAGCACAATGTGAAAAGGGCTGGCATGCCGAATGAGATGTCTTCACGTGCCATGTTTTGGTAGGAGGTAGACCCTGCTCTGACCCAGTACGTCCCTGGTCAAGTCTATTACTTTTGTTTCCAAGAACTGGAGAGAAGATGAATCCAGTGCACCCAGTTAAGTTTCCTTTCTCACAAAGAACATGATGTGCAACAGTAATAACGTTTAGCATTTCCTTTTACACCTCATATACTTGGAAGCAGTAAGAAATCAACTATTAAAGCTGTCAGCTACAAAGAAATCTAGCAATCCACTGCACACTGGAAATATCAGTGTGAAATTCCTCATAATTTAAGTACATAAAACCTGTATGAACAGAGTCACAACAATCCAGTTATGAGCTAAGTAAGTAATTAGGCAAGCATCATTAAACAACTGCAGGAAAGGAAGGTTAATTTCAATACCTGCCACCAGGAAACCAAAGCAATTCATTCTCATACTGCCACACCCAAGAACCAGACAAAGACAGTGAATAAAGGAATCAGTCATGCAAAAGATTCATGGAAATTCACAAAATACCACTTTAATAATGCAAGCATCAGAAGAACAAAGACGCACCCAAACAGGTACTGTAAGCACCCAGTTTGAAAAACTACACAGTGCTTATCAATGCTGTAATTCAGGTATTAAGTATCGAAGACCTTTACATCTCACTTCCTGAAAGAGACCTAAATAGCTTTCTTCTATTACAGGGTTTAAAATCCGCTGCACACAGAAACAAACTATTATAAAGATGTCAGGGCTGCAGGACCCTTAAGGCCATGTGCACATACGCATGTTAATAAGTAGCCAAGCAGTCAGGATCATGGGAAGGATGGCACGTTCTACAGCACAGTGCCCCTGCCAACACACTGCAGCATTAGATCCTGACATTCTGGCCCGGAGGAACGAGTGCCTTCACAGTTTGTCTTCAGGAAGGGTCTTATGATAAAATGCTAAATGATAAATGATACCTTATGATAAAGGTTGAAGCTGATTCATCTCAGTGGCAGAAAGAGTTTTGCTTGACATTATAGTTTAAAAATACATTCGAGGTGCATGCTGAAACCTGAATTATAGGTGTTTTACTCTAAAAAGACTCCAAAATGCATTTCACTTGAAGTCTTAGATGGTGGTTTTCATAGCTTTCACAGGCCCCTGGATTCAAATATGCTCTCATTCCAAATATGCACAGACAAGAGAAAAAATACTTAAGGGAGATATTTTTACAGTTTAGCTGTAGCTTAGCTTTAGTTAAGCTTTTACTAGGAGATTTTGAAAGCAGAGTCAAATTTGCACGTCAGCCTTGAACTCTGCCCTGTAAAACGGTTGTGATGTGAGCCTCTAAAGCAGAGCTCCTGACTGCACCACTCACCTTCCTTCTGCGAGTTCTGGCTAAGGCCTCCTGCCCAAGACCACCTCTGCTGGCGGATTTCTGCCCATGTTTTCTTTGCAGATCTCTGAATGGCGGCTTCGTATCTCTCCTGGGGATCAAAGATACACAAACCCTCAGCACAGACTAGAAGCAAGGACAGGTTTCGAGGTGAAATGCTTTTCTCGAAAACATAGCCCTGTTCTTGGTCTCTAATACGGGCATTGATCAGCTCTTCCATTTCTGCGGCGTTCCTCTGTGCAGGACGAGTGGTCCAGAGCCCACAGAAAGTCTACACTGGTACATGACACCGATTACCAGCTGCATGATCTTTAAACCTTGCCCACACCCTTTCCCCTGTTCCAAATCTACGATGCCCTGCTACTGAAAGTCACGTTCAGTAACATCTCATCTGCTCACTTCAGTGATGTTTGCACCTAATCTCTATCTCTGAACTGCTCTCCTCCCCACTGAGAGCTGGTGTGTGGGGAGCGTACTGGTGCACTATGGCTGCCGTCGCATCATCCAGGTGGGGCTGCACACTGGTGGTGGAGGGGAGTCCCCATTACCTGTAAAGCGCTTTGAGTGGAGTGTCCAGAAAAGCACTATAGAAGTGTAAGGGTATTATTATTAATAAATGTTATGCAGACAAGTTTTTGTAAACACAGTAGAATTAAAAACCGATGAAAGTTGACACTCTTATCAAATTAAATTATTTGAGGGCCCCACCCCAAAATGCACATTTGATCAAGTGGGAGGATACAACCAGAAAGACGAAGTAATTCATGCCAGACCCCTTTGTTAGGTGCTTTAGCTGACAAGATTGATAACCTCTGCTCCAGAACAATAATGAAGATGCCCTGAACAAGGCTGAGACATACCAGGAAAACAAATCCCAGAAGTTTTCCTACAACCATGGACGAAGGGAACAATGCCCCCCCCGCTTTTCAACTTTATATTCAGTGTTAGTCATAGGGCCTGGCTTCTTAAGGACAGATTCAGTCTGTACTCTCACAAGCATGGGTCTACGAACACAGCAGCCAGAACCCGCCCAAGGAAAGCCCTCGAAATGGAGCTCGACGGGGAAACGCAAGGAATGTGACACCTCACTCATGGAAGTGACAGTTCCTGAGGAAGTGCAAAGGCAGCCGAACGGAAACCAAGCCTTTCCTCACGGGGGCTCACTCCAGCCCCTTCCCATCTCCCCCAAAATACTAAGCGTGCCGTTGTGGCCACCACAGCGGTGAGGAAGCACCATCAATGGGCAAAACCTAGACCACGGGGCTCAGTATTTCTTCTTCTGACGCTTCTTTTCTCTAAATCAAAAGGCAAACCATGAGAACCGCCTTTGTATCCTCAACTGTCACGGGAACTAGCTCAGACTCAAATGGACATTTGGGTTTTCTTTATAACAAACAAATCACCGGTCATCACTTCTCTCATTCTGCTTCAGTTTTTTTTCCCCCTTGACCATGGCTTAGGAACCCACTTCGATGCCTGAGGAAGCTGTGGGCAGCGGGACAGACCCACAGAGTTTCTGTCGCCTCGCTCCTGTCCTGTGCTGAAAGCCAGCAGGAGCATCGCTTCACGATGCTGGTAAGCAGGACTTATAACTTGTTAGCAGCAGGAGATGTAGAGGTTCGTAGGCTCCAACTTCCCAGTTATTAACTGAGCAAAAGTATTCCATTTTCCCCTTATTCACTTAAGATGAAAAACACATAACCGACCAAATAACGATCATGACTTTGGTCCGGCCAGAGCGAATGTACTTTTCCAAGTTCCCCTCCGTCTCGCCCCTCACCTTGTTTTTCTCCAGTTTCTGCCGCTGCCTCTCCTCCAGCGCCGCCCTGCGTTTCTCGGCCTTCAGCCTCTGCTCCTCCAGCTTCTTTCTGCGGTCGTCCAGCTGTTTCTCGCGCAGCTGTCTGGCTTTCTCCTCTTTCTCCAGCCACTGCGTCTTCTTGGCAGCTGCGGAAAGACCGGGGACAGTTACACTGTGTCACGGTCATTTTAGCTTCTTAAGGTAAGTGGGAGAGCTAAACTCCGCCGCCAGAACTACAACTACCAGAATGCTTCAGTGCACAGACGGACATTGAAGGTTTCCAAGTTACAGCCGTATGTCCATATGATACTACAGAAGACACTTTGTATCTGAGGACCACTTCTAAGAGCACACAACGACCAGAAAGAATTCATACTGCAAAATATTGTTCCTGTGTTTTACCTTCCTCACCCTTAAGACAGAACATACTTGGATACAATTTACTCAGACCGTTTTGAGATAAATATGGAACACAAATAAATTAAAATAATAACTGCCCATATAAAAAATATTATTTTCCTAAGACAGTTCTCTACATTACAGTTACAAGCAAGAATGAATGAATGAATTACCATCATGCTTAAACATTCAAATGATCACATGATAATGAGGGAAACAGCTAAGCCTAGACATCAGTTTATTTTTCCTCGAGAGACTAGGTTTCTCTTCCCTGGTAGTTTCAAATATAATTAAACTCTCATTATCATTTCCTTGAATTAAACTCCTGCTTCACACCATCTGTATATCTGTTGCTCTAGCTATGCTGCCTGTGTGCTGGGACAGTGTACCTCAGAGGGCAATTTCCTGTTTTTGTAGCATTGTCTTCTGTCCTTATATATATATATAACACACTTCCAGACGCCAGTGGGTGCTGTGCTGTCAGATGGAGGCCAGATGTCACAAATTCATAGAACACAAACACGAAACTATGAAGTGAAGATGTAGACTGCCTTTCCCTCTCTTTACTCACGAGAAAGCAGGAGTCTTAGTTGTGAAATACACTGGATCATTATTTTCCTTTGAACATTACTGGGATCTGATAAATGCCTGATGTTCTCTCCTGCATTCCAGGTGGCTCAAGCAGGACAGAGAACTCGTCAGGCGATTAAAGACCTGCATTTCATGCACTCAACTACATTTCACTTTCTTCCCCCTTAAGACAGAACTGAATCAATATATTTGGATATCATGTACTCAGACAATAAATGCCCTTTTATTTGCCCCCCAAAAGCTACTAAATGCTTCTTTTGTGATTCGTAGAAATGCAGCATGGGTGAATCACACAGTTCCCCTCACAGCTGGGAGCTCTATCTGCTGCTGCATGGTATTCTGCCTAGAGACTGACTCAAGAAGAAAAGTAAAAAAATGAGAAAAAACACTTTTGTAAACAAAGTAAAACAAAAAACCTAGTCATCTATTACTAATTAGTGTCATCGTTGTAAAAAAAAAAAAAAGTCCCCCATTATTTTATTTTACTCTTCACTGAATTAAGACTTTGCTTGATTGGGTATTGAAAGTTCATAACAAGTTGATGATTTCTAAGTGGTCTACATACTTTGAAAATCTCCCAAATGTCTAATAAGTAAGTGATCAGATTCATTAAGAGGTTCCATTCAGAAAACAGGAGATGTGAATGAATGAATGCCAAAGGAGAACAGGACCACAGTTCACAACCTGCCTTGAACTTGCCTCAAACTCTGCTTGGCAGAGGAAGTGACAACCTTCCCCCTAGGAACAGTTACTAGGAACCCCCCCTTCCCATCTGAATGGAATGACCTAAGGAGTGCCTTCAAGGACACAGAACAATGAACACTGGGAAAGAAGCGTCTGTTACTCTGTTACTGTTTACGCCTGGGCAGATAATGGCAGAGAGTTAGTCCTTCACACTTCTTATAATAATAATAATAATAATAATAGTAGTGAGCGCCCCCTACTGGCCCCACCAACACCTCTTTCAGCAGCAACCTTAGCGTTCCCAGGAGGTCTCCCATCCAGGTACTGGCCAGGCTCACACACAGCTTTGCTTCAGTGGGCTGCCAGTTGTGAGCTGCAGGGAGATGTAGCTCTTAATGAGTCTTTGCCCATCGGCACACAGTCTAAAAGGCAATTCCCACTGGCATCAGTTTCCCAGGTGGTTACACTGTGTGCTTTATCTGTAATTTAAATAGTGACCCTCAGTCAGTGCCCCAAAGCCCAGTATTAGATGAAACCTAGCTCTGCTTTGCATTAACCAGTAAAAGCGGACAAAATCGTAATAGAATATCCATTTTTTCATTGCACTAAGAGGATTTACAACAGAGTTAGGGTAATGTAACTAGATTGACAATTTAATGTTTTAATCCTATCAAGAGCCCTAAACAAGGCAATTACCGGATTTTAACTTTTTAACATATCTGTGTTTGAAGAGCTCAAAGATGTAGGACGGAAAAAGTAAGATTAATATGACAGTTATCCCGAGTTTTCTAAAGCAGCTTTTTCCTACCTCGCAGAACAAAGCTTGGAAGCAAGCTGACATTTATAAGAAAGCTTCCTGCAGTTTTTTGTGGAGGAGGTGTGTGTGTGTGTGTGTGTGTGTGTGTGTGTGTGTGTGGGGGGGGGGGGGGGTCATGTGGTTACCACAGCAGAAACCCAGCAAAATGTACAAAATACTGTCTTTAATGGAGAGTGGAGGTCCAAAGGTTGATGAGAAATAGCATTCTAAACAGTTTTACAGCACCCATGCAAGTCCTATGTAATTAAAGCTTATGAACATGACAAGCTTTTAATGGCAGTAAATGTGCTCAGACCTAATTCTAATTAAATTAGTAATTACATCAAATCAGTAGGAGCTGATATTTCAGTAAAGCTTAATGACTACTGATTTTCCACACAAGACAAGAACTATCAATAGGGGGTTTCCCTGTGAGGCATCTCCTAATTTCTAATGGCTCTTCAGCTGATTGATTAGTAGTGTACCCCTTAGGGAAGATGAGATTGTCTGGTGTGTGCAGAGAAACTGCAAAGGCTCTGGGGTGACTCTGAAAATCTGCAGCCTCCAGACTGAGAGTCTTAATCGGCATCACGCTTGCTCAGAAACAGGCTGCTCTCCGGTACAGACAAGGTATCCTCTACTGTAGGTCTCCATGACACCACAGATGTCTCCAGTTAAAAGCTTTCATTTTGGACTTAATGCAATTTAAACTGCAATTTGCAGACCTATGCCTGTCAAAAGCATTTCTCCTCTCATTTATAATTATTAAAAAAGCTTCAATTGTCTCAATTGTCTTGTTCGTCGCAACAGAGAAGAAAAATGGCCTGCTGAATTCTTAACAGGTCAAAGTTGATCCCACAGTCAGCGGATGAAGAGTCAGGCAAACTATGCTTCTGCTGTTAAGCTTTTCCGGGGTTACACCACTGGCAACAATTGGATTTCCTTATGGTCCGAAAGAAAAGAGGAGCCTTTCTCCTGTGAGGGAGCAGGAAATCCCATCTTCCTGACTGCTCGTCTTTTAAAATCCAGCACTCCTACTGCATCTGGGTCTTAAAAGGCCATTAAATAGTCATGAGCTGTGCCCCGTGGAGTCTCAGCCCTCATCAAACATTTATAATCCTCTAAAGCATGCCAACAGAGACCATCTCGGTCTAGATATGGAGCCTAATATTAGCAATGCAGTTTCAGTCTCATTTTTTCTAATTTAAGTAAATGCTAAGTGCAGATGCATAGACATATGATTTACACGCTTCATCTTTTCCCTTTCTGTGACACTAATTTGACCAAATATCTCTAATCATAGGTTTGTAAAGAAGTTTATAACTAAAATGAGGCACCTAATAGAATTATTACATACCAGCCATAACAGCACCAACTTCAGTGCCACAGGGGGCAGTGGTGGTCTGGAACAAGCTATGCAGTACCCAGTGTATTTCAAGAAATGGCGCAGTGAGATCTTTTCCATCACCTTCTCAAAACCACATGAGCTAAAAGGGTTACAAATAGCCTTCTCTTACTTGAGGACTTTTCTAATGTTCTTATTTGGGTCATTAAAATAAAAACTGTAAAAGCTGAACTACAACTTCTAATCTCTAGGCTCAAGGGCACCCTTATAAAAGTTAAAGATCTGGAAGATGGAACTAGAAGAACTCCAAAGAGCTTCTTCCTTAACAACTGCTAGGACATAAAACACAGTGCTTTTGCATTTTCTTTCACTTACATGTCTGAACAGAAAAGAACAACACATTCCGTATTCAAGACTGGGTAGGAACTCCATCTGTGGTAACAGGGCACCACACCTGTTTTTTTCTACATTTTCCAAAACATATTACTAGAAACAGAGTACATCCTGTAGCTGCTCCTCATGCCACAACAAAGATCTATAGCCTTTCTCAAGAGGTTTAACACCTATATCCTACACAACACTTAACTTCCTACACTCCTATGGGGAAGCCGGTTATCATACTTTCTTGTATTTGTTGGGTGAGGGACTCACTACTTGTACTGAAGTCAAGACAAAGTGGCTAATATTCACATTTTATTTGTCTATATCCCATAGAGCATCTCTGGGGACCACATGATGTCAACTGTTGCCACGTGATCAAGGGCCATCTGCTCCAGGAGTAAATATGAGCTCTTCAGACTCAGCAGCATGTTCCTTAAGTGTTCCTCTCTAAAGGGACCGAAGCTTGTTCCATCTGCTCCTGCACCTCTCAGGCCCTAATGGTGAATGTACACATGGATTGGATTCCTTAGGTACTGCAGAATTTGTTTCCCAGGTTTCCACTAAGGAAACCGAACTTTGTGGCGTTCATCAAATTCCCGTTACTCTTTTCAAGCAACACTGTTTTGTTTGAAAGGGAGGCGCAGTGGTGTAGTGGTTAGCAATTCTGCCTCGCAGCGCTGGTCCCTGGACTGAATTCCTGGGGTGCTACCTGCATGGAGTTTGTAGTACTCCCCATGTTTGCACGGGTTTCCTCCCACTGTCCAAAGACATACTGGTAGGGAACCTGGCTCTGGTGTGAGTGTGTCTGTCCTCTGATGGACTGGTGTCCAGGGTGTATCTCACCTTGCGCCCATTGCTTGCTGGGACTCGCTCTGGCTGAATTGGATCTTGTGGTTTGAAAATGGATGGATGGATGTTTTGCTGGCAGCATGGAAGCACAAGCCCAGTTACAGGAGCCCCCTTAGTGGCTCAATCATTAACGCCAATCACCCAAGGGTGATCTGGGTCTCGTCACTAACAAATTGTGACTGGGATCTTCCAATGGGTGGCACCTGTGAGGGTAGGACGGGATTACTCAGGCACAGCTCTCTGGGCTCAGCTTTGACCCCCAGGTACGAGTTCTATTGACAAGAGACGCGTCTCTCCTAAAATCAGCACTGGGCCTTCAGTACAGGTCTGTGCTGTCTATAATGTGTTGAGTTGAGGGGCTCGAAGGTGGGACGGTCAGTGAGTCTCCTGTGCAGAGACATGGGGATAGCAGCCACAGGCCGAGATGTGAAAAAAAAAATACAACTGGTTGTTCAAGTCAGTGGATAACCCAAGTACCTAGCAATTATAAATTTATAATATAAAAAACCCACAAACAAGTGGAGAGAAATGGAATGCCCAATGCCTGAAACAGAGAGAAGAAGCTCACTGCACCAAAATACCTTTTATAAAACATCACCATCTTCAACATTAAAATTACCGCAAGGCTTTACATAATCCCCTGTGCCACCACCACTATGAAAACAGCATTAGTCCAGAAATGATAAGAGCATATGAATAATGAAATTCCCTTTGGACATAAGCACAGTGAACAGTACAGTACAGTGAACTTGAAGTATGCGGACATACAGGACAACAGGTTTTCCTGCGGAGGTATGGAGATTCCTCTGACTGCATACCTGGCTCACTGGACAGGAACAGGAGATGAAAATAAGGAGATGGAAGAGCATGCAAGCTGTGTGTCGAGCTGTCTAAATCACAATTCCTTGAGGAGTAAAGATTCTCTTGCTGAAATCCTGATCTGGGATCTTGATCTTTCATTTTAATTCTGGCAAGGAATATTAATCCCTTAATAGTTCTGATGGAGATACTCCATGGATGATCTGCATATGTTTTGCACTTTGCTATAGATTTACCAAAACCTTTGTTTTATTTAGGGTTGAAAAGAGATGCCCTATGAGAAAAAAAAAACTTTAATTCACTTAAGCCAAGATGGGTTTAAACATTGCTCCACGCACTAAGATAAGTACTAAGTAAAACTGTAGGTGAGGAATTGTATTTCTGACTCTACAGCTTATATAAGCAAAACTTGCAGCTTTGCCTGTGAAAGACAAACTGTCCTCTGTTCGCCTACATACAGCTGGGGGAAGCAGAGAGAAACAGCATGAATTCTACACCCTTGCCAGCATGAAGGGAGACCGGCATTATTTTTTTACCATTATAAAAAATGGCCCAAACTGGAAAACAATCCACGTTATTTCACACATTACTCAGTTCGGGCTTTGACTAATCAAGTCTACTTGACTGCACATAAGGCCCAGTCTATTACTCCTTGTGTTTTAAGCCTTTTTTTACTGCTTGTTTTGAAAAGTGTCTCATGCCCTTCTTTAAGTTAAGAGGAGCTACTAAAACAAGCACAGCTAAATACTTCAGTGCCTATTTTCAAAGAATAAAGCAGGCAACATGAACAGCCGTCACATTGGTTAATGATTACATTTCATGTACTCATGTAGAACAAGCTGTCCGTCAACAGCAATTTTTACTATGCAAATAAGAGGGGGAAGAAACATTTACTGTAGCACACCACAATACGAACCAGATGAAATATTCTCATTAAAACTGTGCCATTATCAAGTTTGACCTCTGACAGCTGCGATAATGGGATCTCTGTGTAAATCACTTTTTTACCACATAATACTTAAAATCCATGACTGAGCCTTGATATTAACAAATTATTCAAGCATAGATTAGCAGAAAGCAAAGCAGCACTCCCGAGACCCTCAGTCTGGAGTAAAATGATGCATTGTCAGTAAGGTTTCCTGAGGGTGGAAAAACGAACTGATAATTACCCTAATGAAGCATGGAGGATTAAACTGCCTCCATGAACCTGTTCACCCTCTGAAGAAAAGTTCTTCTGAGGAAACAACAGTAAAACGTTTTTGTTTCTAAAGCTTTATGAGATTTTTGTGACTTCAAACCCAGACGTTAATTATTGTGACTAAAATTTGATAATTCATGAATTATATCGTTTCCTAAGCTGCATTCTTCATTCCCTTCTTGAAAACTACACTCTAGGACACAGAACTCTGGTCACTAGCTGACTGACTGGGATAGCCAGGCAATGGCACAGGATTGGCTGAGCCCTGCCAGAGGTAGGCTGGGATTGCTCGGCCAGGGCTGTCTCAGCTCTTGGTGACACAAGTTACCCCTGCCTTCACCTGCTGCTGCTGGTGAGGGACACGCCTCTCCTCCAATCAGCGCTGAGCCTCCAAAATGAGCTGAGAAAACCGCCAATACAGACTTTCATTGACCTGAAAGTCAATGGTTTATTCCAGTCCTCTCAAACGTGTGTTATACAATACATTCATCCTGCATGCCCAATGCAAGACTGCTTTCTGACCTACGAGCATTTTATTAATAACCAGAGCTATGCTTTTACAACTAGGATCTGCATTAGAGAGTGTTGGCTACAAAGGGAGAAGCAGAGGTCAAATCCACACTGAAAAGTAGAAAAAAATAAAACATTTCAGCTGTAGAGCTTTCTTCAAGGGTCGACAACGCATTAAGTATTTTTTACTAGGATGGCTGACTGTTAAATACTGGGAAAGGTAACATGAAACAATAATTTAACAAAAAGTCCATCACACTTAAAAAATCAAATGTAAAAAGATCAATGTTTCAGCCCAGTGTTCTCTAAGAGTGTTTAATTAGGTGTGCCGGAGATCGGAAGAAAAAGCGAATTGTGATTTAGACCTATTTTCTTCGAGCTAAAGTGAACTTTTTTTATTACCACTAATAAAGGGAAGAGGGGAGATTTGGAAAGCAATCTACACAGGAACTGAAAGGAGACTGGAAATCGAACAAAAGGCAAGAGGAAGGTGGGTGATCACTGGAAAGATACAAACACAACACAAAGATCTCCACAACCACTGTTCTACAAATGAAAACAACCACCACCACAGATTTCTACTGACACCAGAATACGTGGTCTGCTTACCTTGCGTCATGCTACGTTGCTCTGAGGAACGAAAAAAAAAAACAAAGTGAAAGTGGTTTTCATTTCATGAAAAAAGGGATTTGTTGTGGCCATCACCAGTGACACAAAAAAGGCGCTCTTCTTAGGTGCCATAGCGTTAATGACAGCCTTTTGAAAAATAGCAATTATTCTGTTTTTTTTAAGCTTCTGATTTTTAAGATAATGACCACAGTTACAACAGAAGATGAAAATGGGTCTAGTCTGGCAAAATGCAAGCACTTTAAAGGAAATGTCCAAATATTTAGGTAAATGTGAAGAAAGCATGGAATTTAGTTTACTCAATGTTTTCATACATATGCCAGTATCAGTTACACAGAAACAAAATGAGATCTTGAGAGGTACTAGTTAGTGAATGCAATATAATATCTTTGTTAATTTATTAAAAGGCATCAGTTAACAAGGCAAATTAAAATATCTAAAAACGCTGCTCTGTGGAGGGGTGGTATTTCTGAATGATTACACGCAGTATCAAGATAACACTGGAAAAAATTAACCTCACAAAACTCTATACACATCCAACAGCTCCTCGGATCACACGCCACATACTGTACGCTTCCTGTTCATTTCCGCTTTTTCCCCCCAAAGCTGGAAAAATGATTTTCCTTCCGAGAGATTTCTGGATTCTCACCACAACACGTGATCAGCCAGAGGCGCGTACGCAGCACTCCAACCGATGAAGGATTTTGGTGCTAATCTGAAACATTCTCGGAGAAGGATTTAAAACAAACCAAGGAACGGCCTCCCTCCACAAACGTATAGAAATATTTTTTCCTGTGCAGTTGGCTCCTCTTGCACAGTAACGACAGTACTTCTCAGGTGTATTTCTTACACCTTGTTCTCCTCACCCAAATATTTGGCTCTCTCTTCTCTCCTCTCCTTGGCCAGTTTCTGTCTGTCCTCCGATTTCAGGCCATCTGTGGGGAAAGAAAATTACGCAGTCAGCACTGACCAGGACTGGTTCCTGTAGAAGGCAAATGACTTACAGGTGTATTAAAATGCTGTGCAATTTTTTTCAACTCAAGCTTTTCTGGGGGAATATTGTTTTATGGCATAGTCCGATACAACAAGGAAGGCAGACAGGACCAACAGAGAAGGCAGTACAATACTGCTACAGGAGATAAAAGAGAGTTATTTTACATTATTTACATTATTTTTAAGGTGAGGGTGAAATAGTTCCTGAGTCTATTACTTTTACACCATTGAACTCAGAGGAATCTCCCAGATGGAAGTAAATTCACAATAGAGGGGGTGAGACACACTCCATAATGCTCTTGGTCTTCTTAACAACCCTTTGTTTGTGGAGGATATTTAAGATTTGATTTAAATTGTTTCCCAAATTATGTAGCTCTTGACAATTTCTAGAGTCTGACCGTTAATTACAGTAGGCTGGACGGGTGTTGCATTTGTTCTAAAATCAATGACCAATCCCTTTGTTTTCAAACCATTAAACTTCAAAGATAACTCATCACACCATTTAGTAAAATAATTTTGAACTTAAGCTACAAGGTCGTGGAGGGAGACAAGGACAACATTTTCAACCTTTCTCAGTCGTTAAGGTCTCCATCATCTGAGGACCACTTAGGCTAAAAACAAATCGATACGGAAAAAGAAAAAATACGGACTTCACCTACGATACCTGATCTTCCCTGGCACTGTCTGCAAGATCAGCCATGAAATGGTTAATGGGATATTTAGGTATATGGCTGGGGTTTGCTAGCAGGGGGTGAATAATGATACATTGATTCTCTCTGTGATCCAGGTCTCATGGTTCTCCATTATGCAGCCAGGAAAGAATTACTCTGTGAATTAAAAACGGTTTTGAATCTGACTAACAAGGAAAACCCGAACAATGAGTCTACGTGTGAAGAACTCCTCCCTCTCTCTTGCCTTGCAAATAAGTTTCTTTTACATTTCATCTTGCAGAGCGTTAATTAATAAGGAAAAATACTTAAAGCTTTTCTTCAGCTTTCTATTTAATTACTTAGGTCAGCTTAATTCTAATCCCATATTGAAAAAATCAAACTGTTCTGGATGAGGTCATTAAAAGGTTAGTTTAATGAGGATGCATTTCACGAAGGCATAACTGAACGGGCTCTGCGTCAGTGCCTAATTTTACTTGAATCGTTTTCTGGTGTCTATTTTTATATTCTTTAGCAGTTTTGCTCTAGTTTGATGACTGTTTGATGCAGCTGGCATTTCAGTTTATACAGCTAAGGGTTAGTGACAAGAAGTTTCTTTTTCTGAAGGGCATATTACTCCAACATAAAGGGTGATCCCACAGAAAATAAACCTTGTAGCTCTGTTCTGGTTCAGTTTTTTTTTTCTTTAAAAAGTCAATCTTGAATTTTTAAAACTATACTCCTTGGCATTTCAAAAGGCAAACTGTACTGTGCTTGCCATCCGAATTCTGCAGAAGCTTAGCAAAAAGTACTCTGTCAAGACCTCTAGCAGACTTTCACAAAAAACGACATGGAGTTAAAACAGCCCTGCCCCTCTGAGCTTTACTCCAACAATATCAGCGAGCAACTCTGGGCTCTGTCCCCCAGCTTCATCCCACTTGA